AGGAAGGTCCTCCGATGATTACCTATCAAAGAAGCAGTCTAATGATATAATAGTTTTAAAAAAATTTCAAAAAAATGCATAACGAGACCATATTTTTTTTCTTATATCGACGACTAGTAGCGTCCTGTCATGTCCATACTATTTGAATTAGCCATAGGTAGTTACACGATAGTGCTATTCTTGATACATTTTTTTTATTTTTCCGTCATTTTATGTTCATAATTTGAACAAAAATCCAAATATATTCCCAAACAAAAGACACCCCCCAAAAAAGAAGCAACCCCCCCCCCCCCCAAAAAAAAGAAAAAGAAAAAAAGGATTGATTCGTTGGCCAAAAAAGGACTGCTTCTGAAGCTGGCTAGACTCGCAGCCATGTATCATGTATATCAACTTTCAAGGGCAAATGATACAATATTTGCCCCTGGAATTCTGGAAAAGTTAACTTTTTCCAAATAAAAAAATGATTTGGTGATCCTAAAACATTTACTGCATCTGGACACTGGTGCAATTACCAATGACTTACCATGGAGACCCATTTTGCCAACGCGAGAGTAGCAGGGTAGGAGAAAGCATAGATGGTGGGGGAGGCCGTGCATATACTTGGTAATCCTAAAGCATTTACTAATTCCTACATCTAAGTCTGTTTAAACCAGAATAGTAATTACTAAATATGAGCTACCAGCGCTGATATTATGCAGTACGAGGACACTGGCATAAACCATTATGAATCTCTAGAAAATTTCTCCTCATGATCTCAACCTTAATTCAAAATAACACGCAAAATTTAAGTTCAGGAGTGTAAACCTTGACTATCAGGTTCAGTCTCATCTCACAACTTCAATAGTTCTTTTAACCGATTCAACTTCACATGATAGAGTCTTTCAAAGAAGCAAAAGGTAAACCTGAAATGAAGCTACGCTACACCTACAATGTAGGCATTCCAGGCGTCTTGTTGTGGAAAACTTGTTGCCTCTTCATACCTAACGCCCCTCCCCATCCCAAATCCCTCGGTATTTGTAATCTCAGTGGTATCCGGCATTTGTCGAAGCCAAAAGTGAACAGACTGAAATCCAGTCTCTTCTAAGCAGTCCCTGATCTCAGCCAATGTCCACCTGGGAAGCACAACTCCCTCGATATCAGAAAACTACCAGAAATATGATATACCAACAGAAATACAAGTGAAGTTTTAGCTACTGAGCTGAATTTGATGTATGGATAGAAATAAAATCAAAGTCCTAGCTGTTAAACTGAGTTTGCACCTCAAAAGTGTTGGACAGTTTTTCTTTTTCATTTTCATTCTTTCATTTTCAAGTAAAGGAAATACAGGCATTCAATAAATATGAACTTACAGTCTCCAGTTGTAGGAAAATGCATGGCGAAGCTTTCTTTGTTGCTTCTTGAGATGAAAATGGAGGCTAACCCTTGTTTTCCTCTCAATAATATCAAAATCAGCTTGCTCCCATACATACTGCAGATTTTGATAACAAAGTTCACGTTGTAAAACAAGATGCTGGTGAGTATTACATATACAATCCCCTGTTACCTATTGACCCATTTGATAGCTAAACATGAGCAAATGCTAGCTCCAACTGCGTGTATGAGGCTGATCAACTGAAAAAGATAATATCCCTAACTAATGTTGAAATTTCCCTCCCAAATATGCTTAATCATATTTAGATATCACATACGATTATATATATCTATATATATATATATGAAAAAAAGGTTAGCAAGGAAACTAGTGAGCAGGAAGAACCAAATTTGAGAAATCAGAGTTAAGTGCTTCAGTTATGGTAGGAACTCAAGAGGGTTCGCCAGTTGATGTATAAAAAGTGCTGTTCCATTAATCAGCAAGGAGATATTTCTGTCTGGAGGATCCGAATTGGGTTCACTGTTTAAAAAGCATCCAGGCATTCATTCATACCTGATTATCCCCCAAAGCCAACTGTTCCATACACATTACGGCTAGCATATTCTATCTAATGCAGTTAATTGTTAACGTTACACATTTACAGCAAGACGAACAGTATACCGTAAAATTGGGAAATCGCCTCTGAAGCCTAAGCTTATTCTCTGAGGATGTACCCCCATATAAATCCATCACAAAGATTCCACCTTTATTTGACAAGACAGAGTGAGCCTGCCTAAAATACAAAACCAGGTCCGATCGTTTATGGAGGCAGCAGCAACTGTAGTTAAAAGCGCACACAATATCTCTTGCAGGCAGCGAAACATTTCTTTTAATACACTTATAATCTTGATCAGTAGAGCCTGCTTCACTTTTAGCTTCCAAAATACCAGTATCCAGAATCTTTCTATTGTCTGCTAGTGTTATGTTACGTATCAACTCCTGAGGACTGCTCACGACAAGTTTAGACTGAAGAGGTTGCAAGACATTCCCATGAAACAGGGATATTCTAGAAAATCCATCTGCTCCAACTTTTGGTATGTTGTTCTCAATGCACCATTGAAGTGCCTCAAGATCCAAATCCAATCCTACTGCAGTCCTTCTTGGATCACTACGGAGCCACTCTAGACTGTCAAAAGTCAGAAGATCAGGGTCAGGTAACCGGTTTGCATGAAATGTGAGAATATCACCAATAAAAGGGGGGAAAAAAGAGTAGGCCCTTAGAATCCAGTTTCCAACAGTTTACCTTTATTGTGTACTGAGCAATACAAAGCAATTAAAGAACTGAAAAGTCTAGAGAATGTCATGGAGGTTAAAAAACACTCCCATATCCTTGAATTAACCTGCACTTTTGCTCTCATAAATCATGAAATGGTAAGCCAGGTATTATATACAGCATGCAGAACGTATTAATAAATTATTTTTAAACAGCAAAAGATAGGCGCATCATAACGTATATGATTCCCACATGAAATTGATGAATAAGGCCTTTTTTCTTCAATTATGTACGTGTATGTGAAAACAACCTATCAAAACAACTTTTTCCAAAACAACCCCTGCCAATCAAAGGATATTTAACCTCAAGTTCCCAATAAAGAAGATGTTAAATGGGATAATCAATCAAAATAGGGGTCATACAAACCAATTGTAAGAGACTCAAAGACACAATGTACCTACCTAAGAAATGCGGTGCCACAGAAATCTTCCTGAAGATGGAGGGGCATCCTTCCACCAACGTACATGAGAAAGAACTTTTGCATATAACTTATGTCTCCTTTGGGAGACTGCATTAAAACATGATTCCATAAATGATAACATGAATCCTCTTTTAGAAACAAAGTAAAAACCACAAAATATATCTAACTGGTCATCAGGAAACTCGAGAACGACGCCAAACACGTAAATTCTATCTAGAATCTCAATAAATAACGCAACACATTGTTCCCATCAATGGACATGGAATTGCGATGCTAACTAAAAGGTATTTAGTCTTCTCCCCAAATTTTCTTAGCAACCTAATAGAGAAATGACAAAAAAAAAAAAAAAAAACTTTCGGCCAGATGGTAGCTCAAACCTGTACAGATTGCTGGTAAAGAAGAAACTTGGAAGGCATGTCATCTGATGAGGTTTCGTCCTTTACAGCTTCTTTTTCACCATTGTTGTCGTCATCATAATCTTCTTCTATCTCATGCTCCTTCTCTTCATCTGAGAGAGAAGCCCTGGGAGGCGAGGAAGAGGAAGAGTAGGGTTGGGTGAGCTGGTAGACAAAATTATCATCTTCTTCATCTTGGCAATAGCTGAAGACACCACGATGATGATTTCGTTGATGTTTCTGCTTCTTCTCCCTCTTTCCCATTCGTCGGTTCTGTTTGCACTTCCGCCGACACAGGAACAACCCGGGACACCAAACTTTTCCACGACTTGCGGCGAGCACCAGAAGAGGAATGGAGGGTCAACGTCGTATTTTGCACCTTTCCAGTTTTGTAATAATTCGCGTAAAATATCCAACGCGGGTCTGCTCTTTGCCTCTTTCACCCTCATTCATTCAAACGCATCCCCGTATTTCTAAACCTTATTGCTTCTAAATTACAAAACGGCTTTGGGGGAGAATTTTTGACAATTTTATATATTCACTGTACATAGTAAAGGTCATTGGATAATAAATTCTGCATGATAATAAAAAGAACTAAAAAAATACAGAAGTACAAATATTTTAGCCAAAAGAATCAATAGAAGATTATAAAAATTATACTACCTCCAAGTCTTTAATATAATATCTTATTTGACTTTCGTTTTAGTCTTAGATATAAGACTCTTATACACTTTGTCTCTTATATTTATATATTTTTTTCAAGATAGTTCTTCTATCAATAATAGTTTTAGTTAATACACTTGATTAGTAAATGATATTTTAGGAAAGACAACACATATTTATTACAAATAATTAACTTAACTTTTTTTTTAATCTCCTCAAATTAGTCAACTAACTTTTGTAAACAGAGGACCGGATGTAGTATTAAAATTCAAGTTTTTGGTAAGGATGTCCATTTTAAAAAAGTTTTTAATACTTTTTTGTGTGTTGCGTATTTGTGCAAAAAAATTGAGATAAATACGCAGAATCTTCAAACAGGAATAAACCAGTATATGTAGCACAAATTGGAGGTGATTAGTTGCGAAGACGACTGACTGGCTGCAAGATACCGGCGCGCGCTCCTGCACACATATGTAGAGCCATAACATATATGACAGCAAAAGGAAAAAGCATATGTACTATAAATAGTCAGAAAAACTATTTATGGAATGAGATGAGAAGATGAGATGTCCGCCTAACCTCTGGTAAACATAATATTTAAAAAACAGAAATGCATTTTATTTTATTTTTTTATTTTTAATATAAGAGTTGATTCAACATTTACTTTATTTTTCTATTTAAAATTCTAATTTATTTTATTTCTTAAATTTATAAAAGACTAATATTAAAAATTTTATTGAGTAATACTTCTAATTATTAGTAAATTTGTCAAGTACTGAAGTACTCTATTTTAATCTAAACGCCCCGCATCAACCATCCATGAAGGAAATTCACGTTCTGTCAAATTTCAATAGAATCTTCTGTGAGTCGGCCCCCGGGCAACTTCATCGAAGCGCGTCCATTAGGCACAATCTTCTCAGATTGTTTGATTATATTCTTCTGATTAATCGGAAGATTCCACAGGGTTTTCAGCTTCGGATCGGGATTTCTCTTGATTACTTTTTTGAAACGAGTTTATTGCAGCTCTAGGGTTTTCGTCAATCTTGTAATTTTCTTCTAGTTCTGATTTTGATTCGTCTATGCCCTTGCTCAGAGGCAGAAGATGTATAGCAACTTTAAGGAGCAAGCGATAGAATACGTTAAACAAGCTGTGCAGGAAGACAATGCTGGGAATTATGCAAAAGCGTTTCCTTTGTATATGAATGCTTTAGAGTACTTCAAGACCCATTTGAAGTATGAGAAAAACCCTAAAATTAAAGAAGCGATTACCCAGAAATTCACCGAGTATCTGCGGCGGGCCGAGGAGATCCGTGCTGTTCTTGATGACGGCGGGCCTGGCCAGGCATCCAATGGGGATGCTGCAGTAGCTACGCGACCTAAGACAAAGCCGAAGGACGGGGAAGGTGATGGAGAAGATCCAGAGCAGTCCAAGCTCAGGGCTGGGCTAAATTCAGCGATTATTCGGGAGAAACCTAATGTGAAGTGGAATGACGTTGCTGGGTTGGAGAGCGCGAAGCAATCATTGCAGGAGGCGGTTATCCTGCCCGTCAAGTTCCCGCAATTCTTTACAGGTTGGTTTGCGTGGTAGCTGAATATATTGGATTGTTGCTAATGCCATTTGCAAGGAAATATTAGCTTATGTCAATATTAATTACGAGTTTGTGAACAAAATTATTAGCTGCTATCACCCGAACACTGCATCTGATCAGTATTCTTCCTTAATCAGGCAGTTAGTTGATAGTTTATAAGTTCCTTCATGCTAGTAAGGCTATCGCAGAACATGACAAATTGTATTCTTTTTAATTAATCACTATCCTCGCTTTTCATCCATGAATGTCAATGCTTGTTTATCGCAATTTTAATCTGCTCTAGATGTGTATGAGTAGGTCTTTCTATGGTAAGCAATCTACTTTGCTGCTTTTCTCTGATGCGTAAATCCAATAAAACAACGGAAAATTCTTGTTTCACATTATGGGACCGGGTTATGTTGTGCGCTTATTGTCTGCTTTATTGTTGTTGTTGTTGCTCGTTTCTTAATGATGGTCTCTTTTAGGTAAAAGACGGCCTTGGAGAGCATTTCTGTTGTATGGCCCACCTGGTACAGGGAAATCATATTTGGCCAAGGCTGTTGCAACTGAAGCTGACTCCACATTTTTCAGGTAATATTTATCTGATAAATTGTATTCTACTATTCACTTATGTACTCAGCTTCTGATGTTTAGCTGGATAGCCCTTTCTTGGTTCTATCTCATGGGCTGCACTGCTTGATTGTTTCTGAAATGGAATCCTTCAGTTAATCCACACCAAAAAAAAAGGAGGAGAAATCACAAATGTTTATAAATGATGCATGTCAGGTTTCTATCTTGTCGTTTTGTCTTGTATTTGTGGTTTTTCCTGTTACCTCTTTGTTTTTCCATATTGGTCCAATGGTTAACAGCACTGCTTATTATACTTAATATTTAAACCACGAGTCTGTTTCGCACATTTAGTTTATTGTCTGTCTATCTGCCCCGTTTCTTGTAATGAAATTTTCTTGTTACAAATGTAGGTCAGTAAGTGGATTTGTTCTTGTCAGAGTTGTTAACATTTGATTTGTGACCAGTATTTCTTCATCAGACCTCGTTTCAAAGTGGATGGGTGAAAGTGAAAAGCTGGTATCAAACCTTTTCCAAATGGCCCGTGAAGGTGCCCCTTCCATCATATTTATTGATGAAATAGACTCTCTATGTGGTCAGCGTGGTGAAGGCAACGAGAGTGAAGCTTCTAGACGAATCAAAACTGAACTTCTAGTGCAGATGCAGGTAATCGGTTGATTATTTTGAACTGTTGATAATCACAATATTTCGTGATATCTTGTGCAATTTTCTTTCCTGAATATAAATTTTTGTCACATAATTATTGTCTCTAAATCGAACTCACGTAGGCTTTCAATGTTCAAGGCTACTGTTCTCTTTCTTTTCCCTTTTTCTTGTAATTTCAAACCTATAGTGGAATGGGTTTTTATCCACCTCAAGTTGTAGGGTGTAGGAAACAATGATCAGAAAGTTCTTGTACTTGCAGCAACAAACACACCCTATGCTTTAGATCAGGTAAGATGATAATAGATCTCTTGACATGATCTTATATTAGGTCGATGAGACATTTTGACTGATCAAATTATATTCTCAGGCAATAAGGCGGCGTTTTGATAAGCGTATATACATTCCACTACCAGATCTAAAGGCTCGTCAACACATGTTCAAGGCAAGAGCATTATACATGATTGTATTTGTTGGGAGTTGAATTATTGGACGGGAGCTGTCAAATTGGTTTAGTATTTTTTTTTCCCATTGTGGTATGATATGTATATCATATATGGAACAGGTGCATTTAGGAGATACTCCTCATAACTTGAGTGAAAGTGATTTTGAGCTCTTGGCTCGCAGGACAGAGGGGTTTTCTGGTTCAGATGTTTCTGTCTGTGTAAGTGTATCTTGTATGTAAAACATTTTATTTATATTATCATTTTTATTAGATGAATTTCAAGTTATAGTTTCCAATTGTCAGGTCAAGGATGTTCTGTTTGAGCCTGTTCGTAAAACCCAAGATGCCATGTTTTTCTTTAAGAATCCCGAGGGTATGTTGATCCCGTGTGGACCAAAGCAAGAGGGTGCAGTTCAAGTCACAATGCAGGATCTTGCCGCAAAAGGACTTGCTTCCAAGGTATGCAAGGGATTATTGATTATGAAAGAATAGGGATTCTTTTACCTTTTTAGGAAATGATGATTAAAGATGCACTATAGTTATATTTTGTATGTGTTATATCTATCTAATTGGAGATAGAAAGTCCTTACTGCTGGAAAAAATGTTGGCAGATCCTCCCACCACCTATTACGAGAACAGATTTTGACAAGGTGCTTGCTAGACAAAGGCCTACAGTAAGCAAATCTGACCTTGAAGTTCATGAGAGATTCACGAAAGAGTTTGGAGAGGAGGGTTGATTCAGGTGGAATTAAATCCAAATACCCACTCTGGTTGTTATTATTGTGATTTATAATTTCTTTAGCACTTTGGTTAAGTGAATTGCATGTTTGATATTTAGGTTTGGGAAATTTGAAATTTGCTTTTGTACGGAGATTAATCTAATGCGGGTGCTCTATATTGTTTCTTGGAAACTGTGTATAAGAACGGGATTTGAGATTTTTCAAAATTATTTGTAAGTGATACAAATTGCTTTTGCTGGGTGAGAGCTAATATGTCGACAGATTGCAACATTCTGTATGGGCGAAAATTTCAAGAACTAATTCAACCCAAAAATGATGCAATTAACCGTGAATATTTAGTTTTGTGCCCGAAATTTAGAGTTTGGATTTAATTTATCAACTCTAATATTTAAGGAGGTAAATTTTATCACTTCAAAACATAGGGGGATCATATAAGGTTCCCAAAAACAGAATAATTTTGTGCTTGTATCATCTATGCCGGGTGAAATGTGTTTTCTTGTACAAGGGCTGAGGTTCCCAACCCCCGCCCCCGGGGCCGTGGTGGTTTTGTTCTAGGTAGGGAGGGAGGGACGGAGGGAGCCGTGTGTCAGATGAAGAAATTTTTTTTGGGTGACTTGGTAGTATCAGTTTGTGGTTGTAGCTGGGCCTAGTTGCCCAGTAAGGGCGGAGGGGAAGGGAGAAGAGAAGAAGGATCCGTCCGGTGCTAAATCAGAGCTCTAGTGAAAAGATTTGTTTGTCTTTTAAATATAAGATTTTAATTTTTTTTTCTCATTTAATGTTTTAAAAAATTATCCTTATTAATTTTACAGTTTTCTCGTTTTCTGTCTTTCACGTTCAATATGATTATTACAAGTGAATTGTGAGAAAAGTGACACATTTTTACACGGTAATAATATATAACTAATTTAATTTTATTAATATCTATAAATTAGTTGATTAGATTTTATGTTTATGAAAATAAGGACTAAGATGAAGTGAAATTAAAAAGCGGACATGAAATAATAATTCAATTATACAAGTGCTCTAACGACGAACAGCAACAAACAAGGAGGCCGAAGCTACGCCGCCTTTTCAATACCCATTGAACCAAAGTACGGACACATTTCCACTTCATGCATCCATCCATCCATCTCATATTATTGCCAAATACACGCCTCCCTTGTTCATTTAACAGCTGAGTTGGGACCTTATTTTATTAGCTGATGAGTTAATAATTATGTGGGTTAAAGCAAATTGTATAGCTCAAAACGCATTGTAAAATAACCATAATTAAGCTTACTATTATAAAAATAAACATAATTAAACTTACTAAAGATACATTATTACAAATCATGTAGGCATATCAACTTGTGTGTGTGTGGAGAGAGTGAGAATACCAAAAAGTAATTACCAATTTTGGATGTTTCCCATTATAATTTTGTACAGCTGATCTACAAGGCGTGATGAGCAGATAACATGGAATATGTTCAAACTCTTATCAACTAATGAAACCCAACTTTGATTTGTCTCTATCATTTCGCTCACACATATAGTGGCCCTTTGCATTCATCCATCTCCTTGCAGATTTTTCCCATGAGCAAGTTGGGAAGCCTTCTCCACTACCTTGAGCATAAGACCATTCTAGTCACTGGTTCCACTGGCTTTCTCGCCAAAATTACCTTATATATATACTCACTCCCTCCCTCTCTCTCTCTCTCTCTCTCTCTCTATATATATATATATATGCATGTATGTAGCATAATATTCATTATCCTTGCCTTTCTTTGGTTTTGACAGTATTTGTGGAGAAGGTACTGAGGTTTCAACCAAATGTAACGCAACTTTTTCTTCTTTTGAGAGCCCCAGATGCCAAATGTGCTACGTTTATATTTCGGAAAACCTTTGACGTATCATTTTGAAGATTCTCTTCACCGCTTATTATTAATAAAGTGGTAGTTATATCTGAGTACTGTCTAAATAAATTACACGTTTATCTGATGCAGATCATAGGAAAGGACTTGTTTAGGTTGCTGAAGGAAACATATGGATGCAAATTTTGATTCATTTGTCTGGGAAAAGTTGACTTTGGTGCCTGGGGATATTAGTGGCGAGGACTTGGGTTGAAGGACCCCATTCTCAGGGAAGAATTTCGCAGTCAAACACGTTATTGTTAACTTTGCTGCAACTACCAACTTTGATGAAAGGTATGCGTGCATCGATCACTGCTTAATGAATATTCCTATCAAATTGTTCGATCGATCTTCACATATTTTTCTTGTCTAATTCTATACTTGTTTTCTTCTTTTAAATGCAGTGACGATGTTGCATTGGATCTAAATACGGTGGGGGTTAAGCATGTCATGAACTTTGCCAAACAGTGTATTAAGCTCACCTTGCTTGTCCACATACCAACAGGTTATGATCCCAGCTCAAATACAAACATAAACTAACTTGTCGCCTTAACATGTTTAATGCGTATCTATGCTTTTAAAACATTAGAGTTCGCACATTAATTAAACAATGCTAAGGGGTTTCAGCATATGTGTGTGGGGAGAGAACAGGGATGATATTAGAGGAGCCATATAAGTTGGGGGATTCATTAAGTGGGGTGAAAGGATTAGACATTGATACAGAACAACAAGTGGTGTCCCATACGTTGAGGAAGCTACAACTCTGAGGATGGAATTAAAGCGGCCATGAAGGAGTTGGGCATTAGCAGGTTTGTATCAATCATTAAATATACTACAAATTTCACTTTTCTTGGGTTCAAGTCCTCTGTTGCTTTTAGACCATGTTAGGGCGGAAAGAAGAGAACACAAAAGTAAAACTGAAAAGGTTCTTCTAATCTTTTTTTTCACTGGCTGTGTATGAAATGAACAATCAGGGCGAAGATGTATGGATGGCCCAACACATGACGGTTGTTACCATTCGTCCTGCTATCATTACCAGCACCTGGAAGGGAACCTTTCCCTGGTTGGGTCGAGGGCGTGCGGGAGTCCATATATATGGAATATGCATACGAGAATTGATAAGAGATTTTATAAACTGTTGTGATGTTATGTTACAGAACTATTCACGGTCTAGGTGTTGCATATGGGAAAGGAAAACTAACATGCTTTGTGGGAGATCTCATGTCAGTTGTTGATGTGGTGAGTTTCTGTATGAATTGGAATTGGGAGCCTATAATTATATATTAATTAATCTCTTTAATTTCTTGTTTATATTACCTAATTGGCAGAGTTACTGTTTTGAACTCCATGGCCAACTTCCGCAGATATTTCTTCATCCGCCACCTCCTCTTCTTAAAGGTTCCTCTTTTATTTTGATTTAGCTAATCCTAAATAATCAAAACCAAGCGTAAATCACTCCTTAATCCATGTGCATTGAATGAATAGGGACAAGAGCTGGCGAATGCAGCATTGTGCCAGAGTTTCCAGGGAACTTATCTGGAGCTGAACAGGAAGATCCAGATAGTGATGCGAATGGTGGGGAGACTTACAAGCCTTAACTAGTTCTTCAATGGCCTGTAAGTCCTAAGTGTGAGGGTTAAATTAAAGTTGAGTATTGATTCTTAAAGCAAGAAAAGAATAAGAGAGGATGTTGCCTTGTGGGGCACAAATGCAGATTTGATGACATAAAAAAACAGAGGCTGAGGATGGCCGCGAGAGAAGGAGGGGTAGAGACAGATTTGTTCTACTTCGAGCCCAAGATGATCAACTGGGACGATTATTTCTTCAACACTCATCTTCCTGCCATTGTCAAGTACATCTTCAAACGACCATATCATAAGCATTAATTGAAGACAGCGATATTATGTGGGTGTATGCGAAATTAATGAATGGTTCAAATCAAATGTAGAACAATGGTGTGTTGCTGCTAAATGTTGACTCTGCTTCAATAAATGCAAGGACCATGCCTTGTGGATTCTCTCTGTCCGCAAAACCAGGGTTCAATAAATGCAAGAAGTAAATGACTCTCAAGTTTTAAATTGACGAATTAAGCAGATGGAGATGGAGAGTGAAACAGACTAATTCACTCGTCTATTCCAATTTTCCTTCTTTTTCTTTTTTTTTTTTCCTTTGGGTGAAGAAAAAATTTAAATGAGTTGGGTCCTAAAGACTCACTAAAGTCAAAGTATACTTTTAGGCTCAGAATGTTTACTGAAATATTTATAGATGGCCCACCAACAAAATTTTAACATAAGCAGTGGGATTTGAACTCATAATCTTATGGGTTATAAGTCGACTTTTTACTAATAGAATCAACTCTTGTTACTTAGTTTGTTTCAATTTTCAACCTGTCCCTAAAGCACAAGTCTAATTACTGTTTAGAAAAGTCCAAGCCCATCTTAGTTAAAGCCCATTATTGTTTAGGTTGTGAGCACGTGTATATGTACAGCTATACACCTATTGTGCTATTATACCGGGTGTGGGTAATTCCACTTCACCCTTCTTTGTTTTTCTGACTTGTTATGCATCCCAATATTGAGGCTTTCTTTTCTCGATAAATGAAAGTAAATAAAATAAAAACAATTTTTAAAGGGGAGAGAGCAGAATCATATTTCAAGGAAGGAAGTAAATGAAAGGAACTTGCTAGGGTTACATACATATATAATCATTATTTTTCCCTTTTAAGGTAATTGTAGTGTCAAATAAACTTTTTAGTGTCAGATATAGCAGGAAGTAAATGAACTTCTTTTTTTTTTGGGAAAAAATTGTAAAAAAGGACCTTAAAAATAAAAAAAATTGTAAATAAAAACCCATTACAAGCATAGGTTTTGACAACAATTAATAAGTAACTGAACAATTTTATGAACGGGTTCCTGTATGTAATTTTTCAATTTCTAAATTTTTTTAACAATTTTTCCTTTTTTGTCCGGCGGGGAAAGAAAATGAACTTAATTTATCTCTACAAACACCATTCCTATGAACATGGGTCTAGGAGTTATGTGCTCCTTCCGGTCCTTACAAGCGCCTCCCTCATAGTCCCTACTCCCTAATATTCATGTCAAAAACTTAAAATAAATATTTATATTAAGTTTTGAAAAAGAAAGACCTGGTCAGCCTAAAAAATTTGACCTGACCTCTTCATCTCCGTTGGGGCTGCGTTTTTCTTGTCCAAATCAATTGATTTTCTGTGACAAATTAATCTCAAATTGTCTTAATTAAGTGCGGTTTTCCTTAATATTATTTGATGTCCCCTGGAGAACGCCTGACGATTAATTAATATATATATATATATATATATATCGGCACATATATAGGTTAGGTATAACCACAAAAGTAGACAAGTCTAGTTTGCCAGAAGCCAACTGCAATAAGCAATAGATTTCCGTCAGGACAGGGTATACACATGCCTTCAAGTTAATGAAAACTTATTTAAAAATTAAAAAAAGAGGCCTTTGATTTCGGAGCAAATGCTTTTCTCTTCTCAAGTAATGGACTATTGGAGACTTTGCCAGAAACAAAAAGCGACAAACGCCAGATGGCGTGTTGGATGATTTTCTTCAATAGACCACGAAATTGACTTGAGCCAAACTCTGATTATTTAATTATCACCGTAACATCATCCTAATTCCTAATATCACCCTCCTACAAAATTTTAATCGTTGGATGTTATTAATTAGCGGAGACGATTAATGAGGCAGGTGAAATGCTAAGATTTATTACTATGTTTACACCTTTACACTTCTATTTATTGCATTATTAAGATATTGAAAAGCCAAAGCAACTGGGAATGTTCGTACGTAGCTCAAGTGGTTGGTTAAATATTACGCGCACATTTGAATGAAGATTCTATAGGTTTGGTAAGCCTGCGAAAATGACTGCCATATACTCCTCAGATCCTATTTATAAGTCACTTCTTATATGTTTTGTACAAATCAAAGAAAACCTTAAACTTCATCAACTCTCATTTAAAATTCAACAACTTTTCAACTTTATCCCTATTTAATATACACTATATCACATGTAAACAAAATCAACATAATAATAAATGAAGGGTAAAATTATACATCTATACAAAAAATTTCTCTCAATGTCCTGTAAATGTGACTAAAAAATATCTTCTCTTTCTATCCTATAAATAGGACAAGAGGAGTATATATCTAGACAAACCAGATTCATGCATTGCAACGAGAGAGAATATAATTTACCCTCGCTTTCTGGCTACAGCCTTGTTTTCCGCAGCTTATCCATGAAGCTTCAACTTTCATGCTTGCCCAAAAGTTGGGACAAAATCTTTATAAATTCCCATCTCAATTAGGCATCGATCCTAAGCATGTGTCTTATTAATCTTGAACATAATCAAGTATTGCAATTAATCAAGATCTTTCGTTTCATTTGACAAACAATAATACTGGATGCATAATGAGCGCTTTTAGATTGATAAAGGTGAAATGATCAGTATCAGAGTACGTCCATGCATGCATGATTAATATAAAACACTGAAGCAATTATAATTAAATACATCAATCAATTAATTGCATCGCGTTTTGTAAAGAAGGATTCACTGTTGCCTCATGTAAATCAAAACTAACAAGTTTTTCTACGCATTAAATAGAGTATGCCTTTAAGAGTGATAGTAATATGATTCAGGAAGTGCTCATAAACGTAGGGTTTTCAAGTATAGAAGCAGTGAAGGGGCGCACAATTCAAAGCTTTGAGAAGGACCACTTCAGCTGGATTCCCGACCCCATTAAAAGATATTCGAAATTAGGGGCTAAGGTAGGTGAACCCTCGACCAATGAAGAAAAAGCTAACTGCTTCCTGCCCTCAGCCTGTTTTAATTCAACAGTACGCGCATTGCATTATTATTGGACTGTACAGGTTTCCCCTCCCTCTTGCAGCAACCAAAATCTCTGATCATGCATGTGCACGCGGAAACATTACATGCCACGTCCATTATTTTTACATTAAACTTCCAATTTAATGGTTGAATTTTAATAAACACGTTTTTATATGTATATATTCTTTCTACATATATGTATGTATGTATGTGTGCCACCGCTAGAGAGAGAAACCGGCTTTAAAGGAGTCAAACAACATGAGAGGCATAAGTCGGCAATACTCAATAAAGGCAAGGCCGTAAGGGTTACCTCGAAAGTGTACGATATTTGGAGATATATGGTATGGCCGTTTGAGTAGCTAGATTTAGGCTCATCAGCCAACCACATGTTCAGAGACCCAAAAGATGTTGATGGGTAGGAACTCTTCGGTATATCTCCGTTACGTAGCATCCCATGCGGGCCAACTTACACAAATAATATATTTATTTAAGTAATATTATATCACTAAAATCATACAACCACAACTAGTAATAATATCTTGAGATGAGTGATTTAGAATGTATGAGTAATATGGTTACATGATATTTTTTTATTACTAATTATTACGAAAGCACCGAAACTGCATTTATTGGTATTTGCCTATTTGGTGAGCGAGATTGGCACGGAAGGGTTATCTTGCATTCCCACCTCCTACTATTACGAGAGCGGGGACCGAAATGGTTCCTTTTTGACGTGTTGCGTGCACTGAATATTATGCATATTTAATACTCGTGCCTTGTTGGTTGACCTCTGCTCTGTGGCAATCACGTAGTATAAATATGGCATATGGGCATTCCGTTTCCTTCACACCACCCTCGAGACAAGCTAGCTAGCCCTCTTTTGAATTCATATAGATCCCTCCCTCCCTCCCTCCTTTCTTTTCTCACTGCATTTTTCAGTTCAGAGGATAATTATTCTTCAATGGAGTTACAAAGCATACTCCACTTCCTTCAGGACAAGACCGTTTTAGTGACTGGCGCCACCGGCTTTCTCGCCAAAAGTACCTTAATCATCTCTCTCCTTCTGTCACTTTTTTTCTTACTTTGCTTTTACTTGGCCGCATGCACTGTGCTCTGTACTATATACACATATATTGATTGGTCATTTCGTGCTGTGTGTGTTGTCATTTATATATCCTAACTTGTATGGTTTTGCAGTTTTTGTGGAGAAGATACTAAGGGTTCAGCCAAATATCAAGAAGTTATACCTTCTTCTGAGAGCCTCGGATAGCATATCTGCCACACAACGCTTACATAATGAGGTGATGTACCATCTTGCTTTCTTTCTTTTGTATACTCTTCATAATTGTGTTGCAGATGTCTCAAGAAGGTTCCTCTATCAATGTTCACTAATTAAGGAGAACTTCAGCTATAGAAATACACTATAGCTGACTTGTTGATACCATAATTTAGCTCATAATATAGGTATTAAATAAGATAGCAGTGGCAGTCTAATTAATATCATGTGCGATGTGTTTTCCATATATGCAGATCACAGGAACGGAGTTGTTCAGATTGTTGAAGGAAAATCATGGCGCAGAATTCAATTCCTTTATCTCAAAGAAGTTGACTCTGGTTCCTGGGGACATCTCCCATGAGGACTTGAATCTGAAGGACTCCGTTGTAAAGGAAGAGATATGCCGAGAAACAGATGTTATAGTAAACTTGGCTGCAACAACTAACTTTGATGAAAGGTAAGTATATATATGAGGGGGCCGTGTGTTTGTGTTTAAGTTCGTAAATCTGTGCAACAATATTTTCTTCTTCTTTTTTATTTTTTTTTGGGTGGTGAAACCATATTTAATTTGCGTTACACGAAGTAATATCATAGTACAGAACTAAATTAATTTCTCTATGGCTAGACATTCTAGTTTATGTCCATTTTGTTAATTCTTAAATGCAGATACGATGTCGCATTGGGTATAAATGCCTTGGGAGCCAAACATGTTTTGAGCTTCGCCAAAAAATGTACCAAACTGAAGGTGCTTGTCCACGTCTCAACAGGTTGGTATATTTTGTCTACGTATGGCACTAATAACTTCTTTGACACACTTTTTTCTCATCATTCTAGTTTTCATTGTAATGGGAATGGGATGTCCACTTTCCATCACATCAAGATTCTATTCTTTTTCATTTTATTCAATCACATATTAACCAATAAGTGCCTCGTAATTGGAAGGTCAGAAAGTCCAAATATATTATTGGGCAAAGAAAAGTAGGAGTCGGAATTACTATGTGCACACCACGAGTATATAATAATATTTTTTTCCTGAATACAATATAATATTCATAGATATTTTGCTGACAATATTTGGGCATATTCATTGAATTGAAGCATATGTATGTGGGGAGAAAGGAGGATTGATAACAGAGGATCCATATAAAATGGGGGAGTCACTAAATGGAGTTTCTGGACTAAACATTGACTCCGAAAAGAAATTGGTAGAAGAAACTCTGAAACAGCTTCAAGAGGAGGGAGCCACAGAATATGAAATTAAAGTTGCCATGAAGGACTTGGGTCTTAAAAGGTTTCCTTTCTCCGCTACCCTCTCGTAACAGATAATCAACTAAATAACAAAAAATAACATTATGAGAGACTTGATTATTAATGGGTTTGGTTGTGACTGATATTATCAGGGCAAATACATACGGATGGCCAAACACATACGTGTTTACGAAGGCAATGGGAGAAATGCTCGTGGGAGCATTGAAGGGAAACGTGCCTGTTGTCATTATACGTCCGACCATCGTTACCAGCACTTTCAAGGAACCTTTTCCTGGTTGGGTTGAAGGCGTAAGGTATATACATTCATATATCACCACATTAACTGCATATCTGGGAATCTAAATGTTGTTCTTTCTTTGGGACTTGAATAATTAATGACAGAACCATAGATAGTGTGCTTGTTGCGTATGGCAAAGGAAAATTAAGTTGTTTCCCAGCGGACATCGATGCCGTTTTTGACGCGGTGAGACCTAGAAGGAGCCTTTAATTTCTTGTTGTCTTATAGTGACTGATATTGATTAGGGATAAATGGAGAAACTAATGAAGGGGAGTTTTAATTTGATTGATGCAGATACCAGCTGACATGGTGGTGAATGCTATGTTAGTGGCTATGGTGGCTCATGCGAATGGGGAGGATGATAAAATATATCACGTGGGTTCCTCCATGAGAAACCCAGTGAGATACTCCAATCTCACAGACTATGGCTTAAGATACTTCACATCAAAGCCACTGAAGAACAAGGACGGCAAGATTGTCAAGGTTGGCAACGTTACTGTATTAAACAGTATCGACAGCTTCCGCACATACATGTTCATTCGCTATATGCTTCTCTTGAAGGTAACTATCGACTCACTCATTACCAATTCATAGACACATAATAAATAAGCAGAAGTTGTCGAAGAATCTGAGGGAAACTTCATTGCAGGGACTAGAGCTGGCCAATAAAGCTTTTTGTCAGTACTTTCGGGGGACGTATCTGGACCTAAACAGGAAGATTCAGATCGTGATGCGGTTGGTTGATCTTTACAGGCCTTACTTGTTCTTCAATGGCGTGTGAGTTAATTAAAATTGCTACAGTACATGTCAATTACTTACATAATGCAGACAAATTTATTGAATGGATTGAAACTTTGACTGATCATTCATAACTCATTGGCCTGCAGATTTGATAATATGAACACAGAGAAATTGCGGGTGGCGGCGACGCAGGGTGGGGTAGAGATGGATATGTTCTATTTTGACCCAAAGATGATTGACTGGGAGTATTACTTCATGAATATACATATCGCTGGCATCAATAAGTACGTCCTCAAGTGATTCATCATTTTTTCAACTGCAATACTGTAGCCTTACGTTGTCTTGTGTAACTTCTCTTTTAGTTGATTGCATTTAGGAGACTTAAGCCTGTTGGCAAAAAATAAAACACACACACACACACACACAGAGACTTGTCTGCTGGCAAAAAATAAAAAAAAAACAGAGAGAGAGAGAGAGAGAGAGAGAGAGAGAGAGAGATTTAAGTCTTGGTAAGTGTGTGAGATTATAAATGTTTGTGTGTTATTAGTTATTCAGTCCAAGGCAGTGCTGTAGTATCAACAATAATACTATAGCTGCCAAGTGCCCAATGTTTATGAAATTTCGTCAATATGATGATGGAACATCTCTTTATTTTCTCAAACTCCCGTGGAAGCGATACGTTATTGTTTTTCAAGTTTCTAAAGGGCTGCTGGGGTTATGATTTTTCAACTTAGATTACACAGACAAGAGCAAATTATAAAAATGATTGTAGCCTACTCGATCTGCTTCTTTATTATTAAGAATAAAAAATAGAGAATTAATATTAAAAGAAACAGAAAACAAAATGGAAGACCGAGGAGAAGATCCATTGTGGCTGAATCAAATCTCATTGGGAAAAAATGTTACCCGTACTACTATTGTTAATTAACTACTACCTCATGTCCTAATTATAAAACCTTGTTTATAATCTATAAACAAGATATTATAGTTAAGACAGAAAGTAGTAATTAAATAAGCAAATGAATGAAATCGTACAAGTAATTTTATTAGAGTTGTTTTACAAAAATCAAGATATTTACTAATAATATTTGTCATCTGTGAAATCATTGGAAACTATAGTGACGTAAATTCATAACACTGACTCAAACTGAACACACCATGCTCCGATCAGGCAACCAATCACGTGCATAATTTAGGATCCTAACGACGAGCTATTGGATCAGCACCTCAAAAAAAAATCTCCTATTCTTAATATAAGAATTGATTTGACATTTAATTCGATCCTAAATATAAGACCCTAATCCATTTTATCTCTTATATTTAGTTATTTATTTAAAGTAGTTATTGTAGTAACCGGACAATGCACATGCTGAAACTTCCATCAAATGATAGTTCTAGTTAATACACATGATTAATAAAAATATTATATAAAAGATAACACATAATTATTACAGATAACTAATTCAAAAAACTTTTTTAATCGATTCAAATTAATCAACTGGTTTTTATATTTTATATTAAGAACCGAAGGCAGTGCTATTCAATGACACTGGGTTAACAGAAATCAGAGGAGAAGAAAGGCCCAAACAGATGATGAAATGAACCGAATCAGACTTTGGGTTAGTCTTAACAAAGTATAACTTCAGTGATGTCCTTATAGAAACCAGGAGCGCCGCCCAAGTCTTGTCATAGCCCTACTGGAAGGTGCATCCCTTAAGCCTATAAGTCCACACAATTGAGATAGATAAGAAACATAAATCTTGGGCTTGTGGGAACAAATGAGAGAGACAAGGAACAGACCTAACCCTTCAGTATTTGGGCTAAAAAGAGAATGGATTAACTTGGCCCATGACTAATTTGCATGAGTGGACGATTGTTCAGCCTAAAATCCAAGCGGCTGAACATACTTGTATTTTGGAAGCCCAAATTTACTTTTAGAAAGAGAAACAAATTTTAAGGGGCTTAGTTCGTATCTCGAGGCCCGAATTAATTTTAGCAGGCCCACTACATAATCAAGGATATTATTAAATTAACTGTCTTAGTGGAGCTTTCTAGAGCGCAGTTATGGTGGAAAGTTAACTGAAAATTGGTCAACATGGTGGGAATTGTGGAAAGTGGGCGCGGTATTTGTAAACTAAAGTGGAATAAATTGATACGTGTTCGCAATGGACGTACGTCACCCGAAGACAAAATAGAGCCTCCATAACAAAGGGAACAGCAAGAGGCACAAAAGGAGGACACGAACAAAACCAACACACGTAGTACATTAGTCGCCACTTAATATTTCTTTAGTTCCAGGCCACGTTCACATTGTTCAGTTCACGTTTCATTATCTGTGTTTTCCTTGCCTCGTTATTACTACTCCCGTTCAAAATATAAAATAAACTTTAATAAAAAGCTTGATTTTTTTAATAAAATAATATTTATTTTTGTTTAAGTATTTAATGAGTTTCTTCTAATTTTGCTTCTCATATACTTCTCTGGAACTATCTATAAAACAGAGAGAGAAGATATTTTTTTAGTCCTATTTGGAGGACATTGAGAGAAATTTTTTATATAGATATATAATTTTACCCTCCATTTATTATTTTGTGACTTTATTTACATAAGGTATAATATATATTAGATAGGATTAAAGTTGGAAAGTTGTTGAATTTTAAATAAGAGTTAATAAAATTTGAAGTTTTTCTTGGTCTATATGAAATATATTGGAAGTGACTTATAAATAGGATCAGAAAAGTATTCTTTTTTTTATTTATTTATCGTATTTTTTACTTAGTCTTTTTATTAATAAGGATATATTTGAAAATAAAACACATAGCTCACGTATTTATTATTTTAAACTGATTTAACTAATTTCTTAATAAATATAAATGAATAAAATTTATCTCATATTTTAAACAGAAAGGAATACATGTTTCAGTTTAGCTCCAACCCCTCCTCCTTGAGATTCCTAGCTCAACCCCTTTCTGGGCTGGAGGGAGGGGTGGTTGTAGACAAAAATATTAAACATAGATATTTTTTAACGAAAATTTAAATATTAATTTATCCGAGCTAAATTTTTTCCGTTAAATTTAGGGTCTGTTTGGCTATCCCCAAACCGTGGTTTCAGAAGTACTTTTCCGCAAAACGAGATAATCTTCTCCACATATTTACTTCGTAATCCGTAAAAACACTTCTGAAACCATGATTTGGATTCTATCCAAACACACCCTTAATCCCGTTAATAAGCATTTGGTTATAAGAAAAGCCGCGGTAAAGGGTTGCGTGGACTCCGAAGTTTTGAGCAGATGTTATAGGTCCAAAAAGATTCCGGGTTTGTGCCTCTAGGCTGCCTAGCTAGATTACGTAAGAAACTCACAAATTTTGCAACTGTTCCGTTATAATGAACACGCTGGTTTCACAGACATAAAGCACATTCATTTGATTCATGTTTTACTGATCCCACATGTTGATGTGAATCACCCAGCAGTAAATTCTTTGGCTGCACGTCCTTTCATAATCTTCCAACAGTGATTTCGTGATGAGCAGAAGAAATTTAATTTATATGCTGCCGCAACTACTGACCTGTGTTTTTTTTTCTCCTTTTTATTCATATGCTACCTTCTACTCATGTATAGACGCCCACTAAAGAAAATAAAAGAAAAGAAAAGATAAGATAAACGTGTATTTCTTTTACATTTTTCTTCAAAGATATTGAAATGCTCGTCTAGCTTCTCTGCCAATTATGTTTAAAATTAAAATATTATTCTCTATCAAAAATCTCATTTATATATATACTAACTCTAATTATTAATATGGAGCTAGTTAATTAATTTAAGTAGATTAAGAAAATTAATTAAATTAATTATTTGTAATAAATATGTATTGTCTTTCCTAAAATATTCTTACTAATAAAGTGTATTAATTAGAACTATCACTGTTATAAAGACTACTTTAAAAAAATGAATAAATATTAGAAATAAGTACAATGTAGTCTTATATCTAATATCAAAATAAAAGTAAAACTAACTCTTATACTCATTCAGTCCTTAATATAAGACCCGTTTAACTAATTTGATTAGATTAAGGAAGTTAGGTGAGTTAGTTAATTATAAGAAAAGTGACATATTTTTCCTAAAACACTATAATCATCTTTTTAATACCCTCTCTCCCGCTTCTACTTAATTATGGTTGAGGGAGTATCCATAAAGGTAATTTAGAGAAAATTGATAAATATGATAAATGGATCTTATATATAGGATCAAAACCAACTTAATTATTAGGTTCTATATCAAGGATCGGTAGAGCCGGGAAAACGGGCCGAGCCCGTCGGGCCGGCCCGTTTAAGCCCGTTTAAGTCGAGGGCCGGGCTTGTATTTTGGAGCCTTGAAAGGGAAGTCGGGCTTAAAAAGGCCAGCCTTGTAGGGCCAAAAAATAAACGGGCCGGCCCGTTTAGGCCCGCCAATTATTTTTTTAAAAATTTCTGTCTTTTTTTCTTAACTTAAAAAAGAAAACCCTAACATTTTAAACATTGCATACTCTTAGTTTTACTTATCTTGGCAGCTCACATAGATAGCATTCACAAAAAGAAAAAAAGAATCACTATAGTTGTGGGAAAAATAACCAAAAAAACATGAAAATTGCAAAATTTAAAACTAGGTATATTCATAAAAATATATTGTTATTTATAAGTTGTCAAAACCTATTAAAATACTGTATCTGTAATTTTTACAGTCTTTATTTATCATTCTCCCATATTTTTTATACTTGAAATATAATTGATTAAAAAATCTTTTAAACTAAAATAAAGATCTATATCATTTTTATAGTAGAAACAAATTTAGAACTAAGGATGATGGACTCTTTTCTTTTTTGTCGGTATGATAAATGATTATTCTTTATGCATACTATGTTTGTTAGTTAAACTTTTTTGTTAATTATTTATAATCAAACTAGATCATCCGTATTGTAATTATCTACTGAACTTAATGCTTATTTAGTTGTTTATGTCTGTCCTCTATTTAGTTTGTTTATTCAATAGACTTTATTATACTGTAATATATGTTTAGACATGATAATGTTTATATTTGTGACTCAATCTTATTTATATTTATACCTTTTATTAGTAATTTTATTGTTTCATTTTTATTATTTTGATAAAATATACAAAAAAATAAAAAAAATTCATTTTAATTAAAAAGACCAAAAGCCCGTGGGCTAGCCCGAGCCCGTCATCTCACGGGCCGGGCTTGAAAAAATAACTTATTTTTGGAACTCGGGTTTAAACGGGTCGGCCCGGCCCGTTTTCCCAATACTAAGGATCGGAGGAGTATTAAGAATTGATGGTAATATATATATAGAGAGATACATATAGATATTGCGCATGATGTGTCTTGTAGAAAAGTCGAATTCAAAAGGTGCGTAGTTCTGCACTGGGCTAATGTACACTATTAATGGAAGGAAGCTTGATTTAAACATGTTCATCACCCTGATCCACCCCATAAGCAAAATAAATGTGAATTAAAAAAAAAGGCAATTAAATAACGTGGTATGTATCAAATGTAAGTTTCTCAAACGAAGAGTCAACGTGCTAAATATTTTTGAACTGTAACTACTTTACAGATTATTTGGCATGGATGAGCATTTTTTTAATGTTGAACGGTATAATGTTATGGAATA